CAGACACCTAGAAGAGTAAATTTCTCAAACAAAAGGAAATACATGTGAATTCTAGTGATTCAGTGCCTTCCTCTGCTTCTGGAAGAATTCTCTAGCCCATGAACTGGCCTTCTAGAAATTTTGACTTGCCAGTGAACAGATAATCATGAAGAAACCTGTGAATGAGATCTCTGTCTTCTTCACTGTTACTATTATTAACCATAAACCTAATTTTTCTTTTTATGTGGATGCTGAGTTGAACCTTTATTATAATCAGCTAATGGCTGACACTGTTTTATGGCTGACCACTGGAAAGACATCACTGGAGAGAGAGCTGAATAACATACAAAGTGATATTTGTGAACAGCTACCCCAGTGTCAAGCTGGATGAGCCCAGGCTGACCAATGAACAGAACTAACAAACATATCCTTTCAATAAAAGCTGATACTGTGCAATGCTTATGTAAAAGAGGTAAGGTTTTTGATGGCCTGACTTGTGTTTTAGCTGCTGACATATGACAGTCTCTGTGTGTATCTGATTGCAGAACACATGGTTTTCAGTGTGACCCTCTGATTTTGCTATTACCATGGCTTTGAATGTTGCTTGGAAAAATAAGTACCTCTTGAAAGGGGGATGCAAAGGGGAAAAAAAAACCTTGAAACTGTACTTGATGTGGCATTACAACCAGAAAAGTTGCTGACCTCTGATAAGGTAGAGTTGGGAGAAAGGGAAAGGTAAAAAGCTGCGAGCAATACCATACTGTAGCACTGAATGGGTGAAATTAAGATGGGAGGATTAAGATGGCATATTTCTGTCCCAGCCTCAGTTTTACTTCTTGAGAGATTTAAATGAGAGTGATCTTCCTCTGTGACATGCTACCATTATCAATATAAGGAGGAAACAGAGGTTGCTGCTAACAAAGAGCATCTCCCCTCTTCCCTGATGAGAGGGGAGATAGGGAACCAGGGCAGCAAGGAGACTCAGAGACAGCAGGCTCTTCTACTGGGCAGCTAACAGTCTGTGAAGTGTGGTATGGGCATGGTATGTGGAGGCTTAGAATCCCATGTCAGCAGGTGTTTCAAGCAAGGAAGATGGACAAATTCCTTATCCCATCACTGGTATTACCATGAAAGAAGCACAGACGCAGGAAGCTCATTCCATGGACAGTATTTTCATGCCATGGTGTTGTTTTAGAGGTAGGCTTTAGGCCTGTGCAGTATTTTGAAAGTGCTTTGGTGATGGTCAAACTCTCTTTTTAGCTTGGGAAATGTACAACTGTGTAACAGATCTATGTGCGTTGCTCCATAACTGCCCTGCCTTAGGTGTGATTTCATTATGTGTTCTTGTTAACTGAGTTATGGCAGGGACTGAGTGTGTTTCATTTTATAAAGGAGATGAAACTTTCTGCATTTTCAGAGTATTTTAGCACGTTCTCTGCTCTTATGTGGATGCCTGAATTGTTATTTGATGCCTTCTTTGTGATTGGTATGTTTCTCACACCGGGTGTCATTAATATTTAATGAATTTTAGACCAACACGAAGAGCAGATTCGATGCACACAATGATGTAAGTACTCTCCTGCAGTAGTTGTCACTTGAGAAATTATTAGAGTAGTTTGTTGTTGTTGTTTTGTAGGGGTTTTTTTTCCTATGGCTGTTGCTTTCGAAGGGCTGAGGCTGCTCAGGAATTAGAAAAGGGAAAGGTAGACACTGCTTATAGATAGACAAGCAAGAAAAAGCCAGTTTGCCAAAAGGTTCAGTACGTCTTTCCAATGGAAAAAACACTGGGACACGTGAAAATCTCTCCTGGAGTAGTGCATCATGATATGTACCTCTGTGGGCTCGTCTATGTTTAAAATTCAGTGAGTGATTAAGACAACACTTCCCAGAAAAAAAAAAAAGGCCAGGTTATACATATTATGTTTATGTATTGAGTTTTTTAAATATTCCATACAATGTCGAGCAAATTGTCCATTCCACTTGTATTTTTAGGGACCATATCCCCCTTTAAATTGCATATAAATTATTGTATTTGCCTGTCCAGCTTCTACCTGGACAGATTGAGTTTGGGGGTAAAAAAAAAAAACAGGCTTTCTTTTCCCATTCAGAAGGATTTTGCTAGTGGTGTCTACAAATTGACCAGTTATCAGCTTCCCATAGTCCCTGTCATAGGTGCAATTTTAGCTCTTTCAGGACTTGTGCTTCCTACCCTACAGGTAGGTGACAACTTGTGTCGGAAGGGAGGTGTGCTTGTCTGCTTTAAAGAACAAAGATGCAGGTTTTCAGAGGTCTTGGCTTTGGGGGTTTATTCTTAAAACGAACACGCCGATCTAATTGTTTTGCACCTTGAAAGGTATTCAAGGTTTGTACCAGCCCACCATGCACTTGATTTGCCACTACTGTAAGCTTTTTGTTTTTGAAATAGCAGCTCACAGCCACCCCCCGAAATAAGGAAACAGGTCTGAAAACGCTTTTCAACTTGTCATCAGACTAGTTTATTACAGAGAGCATTCACGTCCCCAAATGAAACATTGCAGTCTGAAGGAGAAGGGTTTGTACAACAGGCTTGGGAAGATCTGTCACAGAAGAACCTCCTGCCACACACCGGGAGAGTCATCCCGTCCAGACCAGAGGGGTATGTCTGGGTGCAAAAGCTGGGGTTCGGTGATGCCTATAGCAAATATCGCCTGTGGTCACACCTAGGACAGCAAAGCCTGGCCCTGCCAATGGACAGTATTGAGGAGGAGCTGCAGAGGCTACCGGGGAGCCATGGACCGAGGGACCCGCACGGCAGGTCAGGTTTAGGGGGAGAGAGCCCCGGTATCTGTCATCCTGCTGCTCCCCTGTCCCTGGCGGTGCGAGGCGGGGAGACCC